TCTTAGTATATTTCTTATGAAATATACTATATACACACTGTCTTATTAGCAAGGTTTAAATCTAACTTCTTTAAATTATTTCACTTATTTTTTGAGATTATAATGTAATTATATCATTTCTCCCTCCCCTTTCCTCCCTTTGAAGTCTCCAACATACTCTGCGCTACTCTCTCTCCAATTCATGATTCTTCATTAATTGTTGTTACATACATACATACACACATACACACATACATACATTTGTAAATAAGTAAGTTTTACATGCTCAGTCTGCATAATGTTGTTTGCACATATGTCTCAGGGCTGATCATTTAGTGTTGGATAACCAATTGGTGTGTTCTTCCCTGAAGAAGGCTCTTTCTCCCATTCCTTAGTTGCCTGTAGTTCTTTGACTGTAAGTATAAGTATACTAAGCAGCTTGGATGGTCTTGGTGTCCATAGTTTCTGGCTACATCTGACTACTGGCAAGTAAAACTGGGGTTTATTCGCCTCTTAAATTTGGAGATAATTACAGTCAACTTGCAAAATATTTCTGCTATACTAGTCATTGAATGAACAAATTTCCTTCTGTAGTTTGCTTCTTATACTTCCTCTAGTCACTGGAACCCTCAGGTCCTGTGTTCTTAAGGTTTTCCAAGAACAAATTGGAGGTCACTTATAGAGGAAAGGATAGACAGGAATCCTAAGATGGGTTGCTTACAGCTTCAGATGGTTAGTTATGACCATCATGGCAGGGAATGTGGCAACAAGCAAGCAGACATGGAGTAATAGCTGAGAGCTTACATGTAGAGACAACAACCACAAGACAGAGAAACAGCATGGGTTTTGAAACCTCAAAGCCCACCTAGTGACATATCTCCTCCAAGGCTATGCCTGCTCCCACCTTCCTAATACTTCCCAAATGGTTCCACCAACTAGTAACCAAGAATTGCAATATATTAGCATATGGGGAGCCTTTTTTAAACCAACAAAGTTTTAGTAATTAAGGTCAAGGAAACTTGAGACTAAATTTCTTTTTCAGGAAGTTGAATAGTAAAATTTATGACTGACCAAAGTAACTAGGTGGTTGCTTACTCTTATAGGTGTCTTTTGTGTGTTTCTTTTCTTTATTTAAAACAGTTATGTGGGGTAAGGTCTTCCTATATAGCTCAGGCTGGTCTCAAGCTCACTGTCCATCTGCTTCACCTACCTCAGTGTCTGGAATTATAGATACCTGCTTCCGTGTTCAGCTGTATGTATATTTTACATATGGGGAATGAGTTGGACATATGAAACCTTATCCACAAGTTTAAATGTGAAAGCAGAATTTACCAGAGGCTCAAGCAGCATCCATTCATTCCAAGAGATATAAGTTCAGAAATCTTTCAGGCTCTAGGAAATATGAGTGCTGAGGACACCACCGTGACTCAGTCAAGGGAGAGTCACTGTGTTCACAGAGCCTACATAAATGGAAGAGAAAGATAGACAAGGTATCACATAATATTAAAATATTTTGCATGCTCACTGTGTGCCAGGAACTCTTTCCTACTCTTTTACATGTAGTAACTCATGTAGTCACAATGATAGTTCTGTTGTGTGGGAGCTATTCACTTCAGTTTTGAAAGAGAGAAATTGTTGCATACACAAATTAAAACTTGCCCAAAGTGGGCAAGTTCGGTGGCAGCTAGTGAGTAGCAAAGCCAGAAATCAATCTCAGACAATATCTCCCAAGTCTATGGCTTTGTCTTTCTCTGCATTGACTTTATATGGAACACATCCAGGATGACTTAAACTCTAGATAAAGATCGATGTGAGGGATGATACAGCCTGGGTAAGACTGCCTCTTGTTTTTACTGTGACATTAGATTTCTTTACTTCTATTTCTATTGAAAAAAAAAGACTTGGGCAACAGATGACTGAAAGAAAATGCTTTTGTTATTAAGGTCATTTCTTCTTTTTTTCTTTTTTGACATTTTTTTATTATTATCATTTATTATAATTTATTCAATTTGTATCTCAGCTGTGGTCCCTTCCCTTGTCTCCTCCCAACCCCACCCTCCTTCCCTCTTCTCCCCTATACCCCTCCACTAGTCCACTGATAGGGGAGGTCCTCTGACCCTTTTATCTGATCCTAGCCTACCAGGTCTCATCAGGACTGGCTGCATTGTCTTCCTCTGTGGTCTGGCAAGGCTGCATCCCCAGGGGTAGGTGATCAGAGAGCCTGTCACTGAGTTCATGCCAGAGAAAGCCCCTGCTCTTCTTACTAGGAACGCCACCTGGAGACTGAGTCTATGGACTACATCTGAGCCCGGGTTTTAGGTCCTCTCCGTTTCATTTTCCTTGGTTGGGGTATCATTCTTATCAGGGGCCCCAGGGCTCAGTTTTTTTGGCTCTGTTGGTCTCATTTTGGAGCTCCTGTCCTCTCCAGGTCTTTCTATATCCCTCTTCTTTCATAAGATTCCCTGCACTCTGCCCAAAGTTTGGCTATGAATCTCAGCCTCTGCTTTGATACCTCAATCAGAGTGTTTCAGAGGTCCTCTGTGGTAGACTCCTGTCTTGTTCCCTGTCTTCTCCTGCTTCCGATGTCTATCATGTTTGTCTTTCAGAATGAGGATTGAGCATCTTCCCTAGGGCCTTCCTTTTTGTTGAACTTCTTTAGGAGTATAGATTTTAGTATGTTTATCATATTGTTTGGCTAATATCCACTTATGAATGAGCATATACCAAGTGGGTCTTTCTGCTTCTGGTTACCTCACTCAAGATTATCTTTTCTAGTTCCTACCATTTGCCTGCAAATTTCATAATTTCCTTATTTTTAATAGCTGAGTAGTATTCCACTGTGTAAATGTACCACAATTTCTGTATCCATTCCTCAACTGAGGGACATCTAGGTTGTTTCCAGCTTCAGGCTATTATGAATAGAGCTGCTATGAACATGGTTGAGCAAATGTCCTTGTTGTATACTTGAGCCTATTTTGGATATACGCCTAGGAGTGCTATAGCTGGATCTTGAGGTAGCACTATTCCTAGTTTTCTGAGAAAGTGCCAGATTGATTTACAAAGTGGTTGTACAACTTTACATTTCCACCAGCAATGGAGTAGGGTTCCCCTTTCTCCACATCCTTTCCAGCATGTGTTGTCACTTGAGTTTTTGATCTTAGCCATTCTGATTGGTGTAAGGTAAAATCTCAGGGTCATTTTGATTTATATCTCCTTGATGACTGAGGACCTATGGATACTTTATTTTTGACAAAGATGCCAAAACAATGGGGGGAAAAGATAGCATATTTGATAAATGGTACTGGTATAACTGGATGTCTACATGTAGAAAAATGCAAATAGATCCATATTTATCACCCTGCAAAACTAAAGTCCAAGTGGATCAAAGACCTCAACTTAAGACCAAACACACTAAATTGGTTAGAAGGAAAAGTGAGGAAGAGCCTAGAACTCATTAGCATAGGAGACAATCTCCTGAACAGAACACCAACAGCACAGGCTCTGAGATCAACAATCAATAAATGCCACTTTTGAAACTTAAAAGCTTCTGTAAAGCAAAGGACATTGTCTTCAGAACAAAACAACAGCCTACAGATTGGGAAAGGATCTTCACCAACCTTTTATCTGACAGAGGGATAATGTCCAGAATATATAAAGAACTTAAGAACTTAAACACCAACAACTAGTAATCCAATTTTAAAATGGGGTACAGAGCTAAACAGAGAATTCTCTATAGAGGAATATCGAATGGCAGAGAAACACTTACTTTCATTTCTTAAGAATGGAAATTGTTTCTAGAGACCAACGTTTGGTGGCGTAAATACATATTTGTTCACAAGCAACCTTTGCCAACTCCAATGTTGTTGGTCTGAGAGTCTTCAAAGCCTAGTGCTTAAAAGAGACCCTCACACCTCCACATAACTTCTGAAGGTTGGAAAAGGTTGTTTAGGCAAAGGGGTACACTGTGCAACACACCGTGAAACATTGCAGCTTCTATAGCGAGATGTTTTATTTTTTACTTTCCTTTGGTGGCATGGAACAGCAGTGGAGGTTGGATATGGAAGGACTGGGAAATGAGTAGGATTGGGGTACATGGCAATGGGAAGAATACTTCTCCATGGTAAACTGCTGCTCTTCTTCCCCATTGTAGTGCACTGCCTCCAGAGCCCCTTCTCTGCATGATCTAAGAACTCAGTCCTGTGGCACATTAAAATTTTAAGATGGCTAATGTGACATGTTAAAGTTTTAAGATAGCTGATTTATGCCAAAAGTTTAGATGGAACTACTTAATGATTCTAGCTGTTAAGTGTTCTTAAAGGTGTAGATCTGCTGATTGCTTTATGATTTGAGCTGCACCCATGAATTGTAACAGTATGTTTGCCTAAAAAATACCAGCAAATAATAGTAACTGACATGCCAACATGAATGGGGGAAATCTCACAAGGCCCTACCCCTAGATGAAAAGCCATAGGTATTACTGACTTGAGAGAGAAGGAGAATCCATCTGCTCCTGGGATGAGCCTCAGATAGATGGTCTAATGCTAAGCAGCCCTAAATACATACAGATGAGTGATGTGAAATGAGCTCCACAGGTTGTCTCTCTCTCTCTCTCTCTCTCTCTCTCTCTCTCTCTCTCTCTGTGTGTGTGTGTGTGTGTGTGTGTAACAATAACACTTAAAGAAAAAGAGGTTATAAATTTAAGGAGTATGGTGAGAAACATCGAAGGAATTGAAGGAATTACAGGGAGGAAAGTGAAAGGACAAATGATAAATACAGTTCTCACACATAAAATTCTCAAAAAACAAAAGGAATAAAATAAAAGAAAGTAGGCCTTACAGCATAGGTCTGGAAAGCTGTGAACTTTCATAGGAGAACAGTATTAAGGGTTTTGTCCCAGTCCCTCACACCTGCCAGTAGAAATAGATGGCATTAGAAGGTTGAGTGAGTGGTTTCAAGTTTGGACGTCTGTATGAAGAGAAGTCACTTTACTAATGAGGTGTTGTCTGTCTCTTTTTCTACAGGGCTGCATAACAACACCCAACTCACCATCCATGCACTCTAGATCCTTGACCCTGGGTCCCTCCCTTTCCCTGGGGAACATCTCTGGGATGTCTATGAAGTCAGAGATGAAGAAGCGCCGAGCTCCTCCTCCCCCAAGTCCAGGGCCCCTCGGTCAAGAAAAGACATCGGAAAAGGTAGGGGGAGCAACCTCTCAAGACCAATGTGTCTTCTCATTGACCCATTTACCTCCACCCTAGATCTTTCGAAATGCTGAATTCTTTACCCTTGTGGTTTTAGCAAGCTCTGTTCAGGGTGAGCATCTGAGCTTTATTTAGAAGTAAAAGTGAGACAGCACTCTGCTTCGGTTACTAAGATAGGAAACTATTTTGGGGTCTTTGGTTCTTAAGGACCCAATGCTCGCAGATTAACATTTGTTTTGGTTTTTTTAGCACTAAAATTTTAGGGGTGTCAGAGAGATAGCTTATGAGAAATTACACGAAGAAAGTTACTTCGAAAAAGCTGAAGCTTGTGAAAAAGAAAGTATCTGAGCTAGATGCCCCCAGATTATTCATACTCACAGAAAGGCTAAAACTTCTGCATATTAAGTTGCCTTAAATATGACATGGAGTTTATTTCATAGGTCCCACATGTAAGAACCCTACTTCTTGTCTGTCTTCAGAACAGTCAAAGCATTCTGAGCCATTATGTCATTAGACACAGCCTTGAAGATAACATCCGCATCAGTGAGTCATCTCACCTGTGGTTTCTACTGCTCCTTCTTCCTTCAGCTATACCTGAAACCATCACTTGAAATGTCAAGTCCTTTCTTCCCAGGAGTAGGGAACCACGTGACACTATAAACTCTAATTTCATTTTCTGATACTTCTGTTACAGCTCACTGCACTCCCAAAATATTAAGTAGAAAGTTCCAGGAAAAAAAAATTATAGATTTCACTCCCACACTCCTCTGAAAAACGTGATGAAATCTCACAGTTGTACTCTGTCCTGTTAGGACATGAGCCATCCCTTTTTCCAGCGTATCTGTGTTTTGGGTACTGTTTGTTGCTGTTAATTAGCTGTTTCACTCGTGAATTAGTGTGACAGCATTGCAGTGCTATAGTCACAGAATCCTTATTTGATTTAAATGGCCTAAAAGCCATTTAAGATAGTAATGAAAGCAGTTTATATTTGCCAAAGAGAAGCTTTTATTAAATGAAAAAAGTGATTCTTATTGAAAATGTATATGTCTATGGAAACACAGAGTATAAGAGATAGGGAGTGTAGTTTAGTACTGTTGTTTCAGGCATCTCTGAAATCTGTCTCCAGTCAGGTGTTAGAGGAGGGGTACCTATCACTTCTCTTTTCTAAGCACCTGAAAAAAAAATGAAGTTTTATTTTTCTAAACACATCAGCTGGATGAAGTGTGGAGAGTATCTTTGGAGTACCTCAGAGGGGCTTGTGCTTTAGACTCTTCTGAGCTGTGAATCATCATCCGTGTGCTGAGGTGCTGTTAGAGAATGAGGATGCCTTTGTCTTCGTGGCTGCTTTGTTTCAGATGGGCCTACATCCCTGATTCTGGGGCAGAAAGCATACCCTGAACCTTGGCATCCCATGAAGCACACTGAGCATCCTTTTATTCTCTCATGGATTCCATGTCCTCTTTCTTGCTTGGTGCCTTGATATCCTTTGCTGAATCATAACTCTCAGGAACATGAGAACACTGACACTCTTTGGGCTTGAATCATTCTTACATTAGTCATAAAATAGCTTTTCCTGAGAATATACTTAAATATATTAGAAACTATATTCACTCCACCAAAATTTGAGGCTTTGCCTTGTGTCTTTGTTGCAGCCACAGATTACAGAGATATCTTCCTTGATATCTGTGCTAGTTGTTTTTTTATAATTGCTATAACTAAATAGCTGCAAGATTAACCTGAAGTGAGAAGGGTTTATTTTGGTTCAGTTTAAAGGTACATCCCATCACAGCAAGTAAGCCATAGCAACAGGAACACGAACATCTGTTTACGTTTCATCAAGCAGCAGGAAAAAGTGAGCCAGTACTCACCTCAGTTTTTCATTTTTATTCAGTACATACCTCAGCTCATGAGATGGCACTGTCCACACCCACACTCAGCATGGGTCTTCTCTAAGGTAAACCTTTCTGGAAATTGACATCATAGATACAGCCAGAGGTGTGTTTCCAGGGTCATTCTAAATCAGGTCAAAATGACCATGCCCATTAAACATTATGGCATCTTTACCAGTTTGACTGTCTGTCTGTATACCTATGCTGTAAATGTCTTTATTGTTTCAAAGGCCTTCTTAACCTTGTTACAGCAGAGACCATACATGACCACTGCAAGCCCTTTATTCATGTCACTAGAAATTTATCTCCAAATCCTCTAATACAACACACTTTAGGAGAAGATGTCCTTTTTTGTCTCAAACATTCATTTCTTTTGAGATTTCTGTGATACTGCAGCCATGTTCTGATAAAAGGGAATTTAGTCACAGAGGCACATCAGTTTGTTCCACACTTACTGGAACAATGTAGCCACTGTGTGAAGCTGTTTCTGTGACCATAGTTCATCTCTTTAATCAGTTTACATTGTGTACTTCTTCATAACACCCGGATGTATTGATAACATTAGCCATTTCCAGCTACCTCTGAGATGTCTTTTTTCTCTTGGTTGAGATAGATATTTCTTTAGTGATGAAAAATATGTGTTCCAGGACCAGTGTTATATAAACACTTTTCTTCAATATGAAACCTTAATGTGATAGAGCATAGATGGTACATCAGCATTTCAGAATTTTCTTCTATACAAAGATGTTATGTTTTGTTTTTCTGAACTTAATTTAGTTACTCATAGTGGATAGTCTGCTAGAGCAGAAAAACATATAGTAACTGGAGAATTGGGAACTTTAAATGGAAAATAAACAGTACATTCTCCCCTGCAGAATGAACAGAGCTCCCTCTGCAGCAATAAAAGCTTCCACTGAAATCTGTTTTATTTGGCACAGAATGAGTTGAGAAATTGGTTGCTGGAAACCATCTCCCTTTTTAAGTATGTGAGTGAGGTACAGATTGCATTTAAGCCTTTTCTATGAACATGCTTCTTTTTAAAATGAAATATATTTTGTCATTTACCAGTTTCTGGGAAAGGAACCCAAAAAATATGTTGTCCTGGTTGTTGGGAAGGACATCAGTTCCTTTTTCATAAATCTCCTTCCATCTAAAGAAAATTATTTATTTGAAAGTCGTATTTATATGTAGCTGCTACTAAAACCAAAATCCTGAATAAGAAGAAAAGGTTTAGTTTCAGGACTTAGCCAGCTTATAAGAATACTTAGGGGTTTTTTTTTATGTTTACATGACTATTTTTCTTATCACTAACTGTCAAAATTCAAATTTTAACTGTCAGTGACTTAAGGATAGAATAATTTTGCCATGTTCCATTTTATCTAAAATTTTAATTATTACGTATCTTTTACTAATTAAATACTCATGATTTGATCATCAGTATTTATGTTTGAAGGTGACTCTCGAGAGCTATTTCTGGAAATATTGGAGCTACAAGATAAGCAATGCCACCTTCATACAAGACTCTGTGCAGAGCATTTGAGAGGATGAGTGGGCACAAGTGCATGCTCTCTTAAGGACGAGGATAGTGCCTTTCTTCAGAGCCCATTGCTCTGACCATGTCATCTTGACCCCAGGCTATATTATGGCGAACTTTCAATTAGAGATAGTTGTAGGGTTGAAGGGTTCTGTGAGAGGGCTCTAGGGTCTAGCCAGAGTTAGACCAAATATACTTAAAAATAAAATTGTTTATGGCTAGAAAATACCAGGTATATGATAAAAATGTTACCTTTGGACAGACTCACATGTTAAAGGACTCTGGCATCTTTCCCCCTCTTTGTGATATTTTCCTTTCTCAGCTATGTTGATGTAAAACACAGCCTTTTCTAAAAGAAAGAAAAAAAATCAGTTTGTTCTGAGACAAATATGAGTGAACATGGCTTGGTTTGTAGTTGCCCCAAATGATATGTTTCATGGTAACATTGGTTATTCAAGCTTTTAATAGTCATAAAACAAAAAAGTCATAAATCAATGCATCTGCAAATACATTGGTAAGGATGACATCAGGTAAGTGTGTTACAATAAAGTAGAATGTGTCTGCTGTAGCTTTAAAATGCTGATGAGGAGCAAAGTGAATGAATATATTCCAAAAGTTCTACATACATAGGTGTGTGAGAGATGACTATTGAAGGTACTGACATAGCCCAAGACCATTTCAGCTCTCCATCTGCCGCATTCTAGTTCTCTACTATCTGGAAATTCTCATCAGCTAGTCAGTCTTGTGAAACTTCAACAAAGGTGTGGCTTTCTTTAAAAAAAAAAGAAGAAGAAGAAGAAGAAAAGAAACCAACTTTGTTTCATAACCACAAAGGACAGAGCACTATCCACTCTTAAATACCTTCACAGGGTTGGGAAGAATGGGGCTGCCATCCTCCCAAGTCAACTTTATCAAAAAAGATAGAAAGAATGATTAGCAAGACGTTCTTCCCGAGGCAGCTTCATTGACCTTGAAAGACTGCAACAACACTCTCCACAGTCTGCTGACATCTGCATTTCCCCTAAGCTGTTCATGTCACAGAGCAGGCCATTTTGCTATATCATCTCCATCAATTGATCAGAAACTGATCAATTGTGAGAGCTTACTAGATTATGCTGTTGTCTTATTTCAGTTGTCATTATCCACAAATACATAAGGAACAGCTGTTCCTTTCTTATAGAAGTATACAGTGATTACATACCTACTTTTATGCCTGTCAAACTATATATCTCTCCTTTTATGATAAGTGAAAATATTTTAAAGCTATTGAGACTTTATTTCATATTGTTTGAAATGTTGCATTCTAATATTCAGTACCACAAACTTCCATCATTACAGGAATTTTTGATGTTATCTTAGGCTTGTTACCTTGGGGATTTCAAAATAATTAGCAATGTTGACTATAAAAACAAAACAGTAACGACTTGTTTTATGATCAGGTATCTACATGATCCAAACTAGGGTTTTCTGTGAAGGTGTTGCTTATTTGTTCAATAAATACTGGTAGAATACTCTGCTCCAAGACCAGTAATGGCCACTCATTATTCTTATGCTTCAGTGAAGACTGCCCA